GTTAAGTCGTTTCACTGTGTGAAAGAGGCTACTGTTGTAACTGTTTGACGTGGAACCAGTTCACATTTTTAAAAAACAAAAAGTTTTCTGAGAGACAGCACACACAGTATCTTTTACTGCTTCAGATCTTAACAGAGAGCTAAAGTGACATAATGTCCTGTATCTTTTCTAATTTCCTGTATTATACTTGTGGAAATGGCAATTTTTGGTACAATAACTGGAATGATACAAGGTGTTTGGACACATGTTTTTACAAATTCATTATTCATAAACAATTTTTAATTTTGTCTGGAAGAGCACTCGTTGTGTAAAACAAATGTGGGAATAGCTGGCAGTTCATTCTGCTGTGGTGACCTCTAAAACAGAGACTAAGCCGAAGGAAAATGAACGAATGAATGAATAAATTTAGGAATGTAAAATTGTTGTAAAATTTGAAAAAATATAACTTAGGGAGCAATTCTAAATAAAATAAATTAAATATTACTTAAATAAATGTAAAATAAAACATTTTGATTATACAGTGATGTGTGGTGGAAAAAAATATGACTAACTTAAATGACAATAAATCATGACTTTCAGCTATATAAGACACTTTTTTACTGAAAATATCAGATTGTTAGAGCTGCATCATATTGTGATCCATCAAAATGAGTAACAAATTATTAAAATTATTAAAATATATATAAACATAAGAAAAGAGCAGGACAAAATAGCTTTAAACACCACATGTACTTGCAGTTATAAAATCACCAATATAGTCACTTCCAGCACTCAGGTAGAGTCTCATTGCAAGTTTTATGATGTAGGTACAATAGCTGTGTTAAAATGAAGCTTACCTAACAGCAGGGAATGGTTGGTCAGAATAATCTAAACAGACAGTGGTGCCACAGCAGATCGCATGTTTGAGGTTGAGTAGCTTAAATAAAACAGATAGACCGCAATGGGGAGGAGAGGAACCACTTTGTTTCACCACAGAAGAACAATGAAGAGCAAATGTGTGCGTGCTTGAGTATTTGTGAATTACTGTAACTTCAGATATGTACTGGAATGGTCGCTAATTAAATATTCACACTGGGTCAGTGGTCTTCACAGTGGGCCATGGGAGGTCTGAGAACTTGTGAGAAGCTTAATGAAGCACACAGCGTGGGAGGCTAATGGAACAATTACTGGGTTAATTTGACCCACTAATCAAAGAGCAGAACATTGAGCAGTGTTCTCCGTACAGGAAGGAACAAAAATAAAATAACTTTTTTTTTTTACTGTCTATGATAATATCATAATTAGTGTTTAATGATGTGCTGTTGGAGTAAAAACAAATAAACATCTTGAGAGTCCAAAAGCATTGACAGTGTGATGAAACCCATTACAATGCAGTTAGAATGAGTCTATAATGAATTAAATCCATATTCTTATTCACAAGATAATGCACTATAACACAGGTAATTTTCAGATGTATTTCAAGAGATTTGTCAGGGTTCTGTCCTCAAACTGCTTCCTTTTTCGTTGTTTTGATTTAAAGTTGTTTTGTCTCTTGTAGAATTAGTTTTAAATCATTAAAACTGTTCAGCATTGTGATGAGAAACTGGTCAAGTCCTGCCTGATACTACTTTAGCTGTGCATGTATCTGAATATAACTGTAAAAACAAACAAACAAGCTATCTGACAGTAGGTGGCGCTTATGTAAAAGCATAAATACAGCATTGTCTGTTACACTGGAATGTTAAGCAGCGCAGTAATGTTTTTAGGTTTTATTTGGCTTTACAAAGTCAAGTGCTTTTTGGAATTATTTCTTACAATTATCAGATGATATGGCATGCTGTGTGCACTTTATTGTGCTTACAAACCATTCACGTGGCCTCCATTTCCAATGTGAAGGAAATTATATACTTATATACCACATCTATAAATGTATTTGTTTTATTTAAGATTATTTTTTATTTATAATTTTCTTTAGACCTGTAATGCACTCCAGAATCTGACAAATTGATTAACAGTAGGCTCTAGAACAGTCATCTAAAACATTGTCATACAGCGTTATGCCTGGATTTCATAAATAGCCTTGCATTTACTAACCCAGACAATATTTTAAGTGTTTGGAAGTAATTCCGGTATTCCTCCTGTAGAAAAACGCCGTAAGAACAAAACTTAGTGGCTCAATGTATTACAACAGTGTTTTTAAAAGTCTAAACACTTTATTAATATAGTATAAAACCAAGCACATGTGGTATAGTATAGTAATATAATATAGTAAAGTAATACAATAGAGTATTAAGCGTTTCTTCCAAAGAAAAGCCTCTCTAAGCAAAATGCTAGCAGGTGTCTGGCTCCCGCTCTCCCTCTATGCCCTTGTTTGGTATCCCACTGTCGGTGTGATGACGATGCACACAAAATGGCGACAGTTAGCCACATCTACTTGTAGCTTCTTTTGGGTTCTTCAGTAATAGGTGTTGTTACAGATATTACGTTCATATCTTTAACATTCTATGAGCACAGCATAACTTTCTGATTCAGTTAGACACTTAAGAAGAAAGTCAGTCTAAATGTCTGAAGGTCAGTCAGTATTTACATATTTTTAAACCCACATTCAAATTTTTAATTACATAAAAAGTTCTTAAATCTATTCATTCATTCATTCATTTTCTTTTCGGCTTAGTCTCTTTATTAATCTAAGGGTTGCCACAGCGGAATAAAACGCCAACTCATCTATCACACGTTTTACGCAGCGGATGCTCTTCCGGCTGCAACCCACCACTAGGAAACACCCATAAACTCTTATTCACACACATACACTATGGACAATTTAGCCTACCTAATTCACTTATAGCACGTCTTTGGACTTGTTGGGGGAAACGGAGCACCCGGAGGAAACCCACGCCAACAAGGGGAGAACATGCAAACTCCACACAGAAATGCCAACTGATCCAGCCGAGGCTCGTACCAGCGACCTTTTTGCTGTGAGGCAACAGCCCTTCTCACTGCGCCGCCCCATTCTTAAATCCAATTTATTTTAAATTAGTTGATTACAGCAATGTTACCAGCTTAATATCTTGATACTGATGTTTTGCACTTCTGTCTGTTACAAACATTTGGTTGCATTTTAGTAACACTTTATTGTAAAGTGTTTTACTGTATTTAAAAACAAACTGTATGGTAATAATATATTTTAAGGTGTCCTTGATACACATTCTATGTACTTCCTATAGTAGTTACAATAAATTAATAATAATAAAAATGCATTATTACATGTAACGAACCCTAAACCAAGCGTAGCCTAGCATTCTATCCCTTACCATATAATAAGTACATATAATTAATTAATATTACTAAATAGTTAAATACATTGTAATGAGGACACAGTAAACTTAAGTATTTCTTGTCATTAAACTTTCATTTTTTTCAACATGCTTTTGTAATCTAACACAACACCATCATAATGCCATATCCGTGATGAAATCTTTATCAGTTATTATAATATGAATATGATACCACCACGTTCCAACTTAATTTCTAAAGCACTAAAACCAACAAGCTCCTCCACATTTTAATGCACATTTAAGTAAAGTTAATTGGAATTGCTCAGCACTTGATGTAAACAGAGCACTTTAAAGTATATTTGTCCAAAACCTGTTTTTCTTGTCCATATTAGTTTTCAAACTGGTGCCACAAACTTCTTAGCTGAGGACCAGCATAAGGTCTCTGTCTCTATTGGCAGAGGAAAGTGACATATGGGTCTGTGTGACACCGGTGATAAGCACTCCATCCACTCACAAGAAAATGACTGGCCTGTTCAGTGTTGTTTGATATTGGGCCAGTTACCTGAAACCTCTAAAAATAGTTTGCTATCATCCGGTACATTAATATACCTCATAAGTACTGACTAAAAATATGAAATCACAGGAAGAATGTGAAGCTTATGAAGAATGCTGCCTGATTCTAATAAGTTTGTGGGTTTTATTTTATTTTAAGGTGTCCCAGTGTGCCTATTTATTTAACTACTTAGGGATGTTAGTTAATTATTTACATGCACTTAATATATAGTTAAGGTAGGAATTAAGGTTAGGTTTAGGGTTAGTTGCATGTAATCATGTATTGTATTTGCTATATGTACATGGAACCTGTGTAATAGACAATAGGGTTGACGAAAAAGTGTTACAGATTTTTAAAACACACTTTACATCAGAGGACAGTTTACACTTACTATTATGGATTTATATCTGTCATTATTTTAAATCCTGTATTTAAAACAAAACATCATTATCAGGAATCCTGGTGCCCAGTAGAAAGTTTTTAATTTACTGCAAAGTAAGCATTCTGACTAGTCATTGCCTCAGTAAAAGCCATGGGTAATTAGTGTGTAAAGCAATGTTAGCTACAATTGTTGTTTGTTTCTTTTAATGAATCATAAAGACACCATACAAACAACTCTTGGTGTCAGGGGGAAAAACAATTGTTTTAAGAAATGTTACCTTAAGTGAAATGGATAGTTTTATAAATATGCATGTAATCTTGTTGTCATTCGATATGCTGTAATTTAAGCACTCAATTATGTGGAATCCTGGTGCCAAAGTTTCACTAGTAAGTTTTTAATTAACTACAAAGTTACTAGTCAAATTACCACAGTACAAATTATATCTATTGTTTAAAAAATGTTACCACACACTTAATAAGTACTGGTTTTATTAATTATATATACAGTGAATAATTGTACTTGCTGAAAAATAATCGTTCGCACTGTATCAACAATCGTAATGCATATCTAGAGAGATATCAGGTTATCATTTGTAAATGATAAAACCATAGTAAATGACAAAAAAAGCATTAAGCTTCCAGAAAACAAATCTTATTGTGTGCCGATGATTAATAAAATAAATGTTAGCCACTGTGTGTTCTATGAACTGTTACAGGTGAAAGTAAATGATAATAGTAGAAAAAAACTAGGTTATTGACAGACAAAAATATGTTGAAACGGCTTGCCATTTTCGTTTTAAAAGCGATCTTACCTGCGTTTCTAAGTTTCTTGTTTCTGTAGACGGAGAAGATCACCAAGAGGTTCCCCAATATATCAACCACGATAGTGAAGATCAGAAAACTGCCCAAAGTTGTGGCGACCCAGGGAGGGCGATTCAGGGTGTTCTCATCGTGAGGGCTCAGTGAAGAACTGTTCATCAAGCCGCTGCCATTTATTTTCATTTTATCTTCACTTCAGAAATCCTCGCCATAAATGATAGGACTTGATTCCATTGTAAAACCATGTGTGGCGGTTAATGCGTTTGCGTAAACGTGCGTAAACTGAAGCTCTGTTATCATGTCATGGTCCTCGATGGTGCGCACGCCTTCACGGTCTGAGCGCGGACATGTGTCCGCACTTTTATAGCTTTCTGTCTACATCAGATTGTTGGTATGTGACATCCGACAGCAAGTTAAGTTCTCCTCAAATGCCCATGGATGTGTGATGCTGTCTGTAGATCGCGGTTACGCTGCCCCGCTGTGGAAGACAACGAAATCGGCAAGGAATTTGGGTCGGAGAAGGTTCAGCTTCTTTCACATCCTCGCGATTACTTATGCACGTGTTCATTCATTATTTTTGGTCATTCATGCTGTTTCAACGTCGAAATCGACATTTTCTTTAGTTTATTAAGCGCTGCGAGGAAAATAATTAGCTGCACATTGGTTAAAACCTGAAGTCGCCAAGTTCAAACACTGCTAAGAGTGATTCTTGAATTATTAGTAATCCCCTTAAGCAAGAATTTTTACACCAGATTGCTCTATGTCTGATTCTGTAATAGACAAAAGGTATTTAAAGTCACAAGATGAAGTATTAATGCCATGGCAGGGCTGTTCAAAGTGCACTAGATAGCATTTTAAAAGATACATATTTCGCTTTAGACAAATTTATTTATAGTTTTATTACTTCTAATGCATTCCTGTTATCTCTTAGAACAAGTAACAAACCAAGTCAAACTTGTTTATATATAAAGTGCTTTATACAATGCAATGTTTTGGGCAGCTAATAAACTGGAAAATGATATTTTAGTGTTAATGTAGTAAAATTCACCTATGCAATACTTACACTAAGTTTAATGTATGTCAGAATTGCTAACTATTATATTACACAATATTAAACAATTGGGCAAAGTAGATCAAAGTAAATTATTATTATTACTTTTATTTTGCTCAAATTGATCTAATTCAGTTTGATAAATGTCATTGTTGTAAAGTTATTGTCATCCTACAGCTCAATTTAGTCAAAGTTCTCTTCAGTATTTCTGAAGACTTGTCTCTATTGTCTGGATAAAAGCTTCCTGAAAAAGCTGCACAATTCTAACATTTAAAGATTTATTATTTTTATGTATTATCTTATGTGTTTATTTATCAGCCCATTCATCTTTAAAACACTAATAAGACTGTTAAAAGTGTATATATATATATTTTGAAAATATAAGTCTGAATTTAAAAAATGTGTTGCTGATGTTTTGCAAGCCTGTCAGTACTTAAAAAAAGAAATTCTAATAAACAAGTTGACCTTTTTTTGAAACTGTCTAATTGGGCTTTTGACTTAAAGCCTTAGAGCTACTGAGACATATCCAGTGTGACAGCTTCCCTCTAGGAAAAAGATCTTTTTTTCATCATTATTACGCCATTATCACCTTACTCTAATAGGCATGCATTCAGCCACATATCATGCATGAAATGTGTGAGAAGTGCATTTGTTGAGTTTAAAAACATATTCCTGATGGTGTTATCAGCAATTCCTCCGTGCATGTTATATTAAAGAAAATATATGCTGTCTTATTCTGTTATCTAAAAGTAGAGTTTTCCAACCGCCAGATGGAGATGAAAAAGCATCTGAGCAGTAATAATAAACTGCCCCTTAAAAACAACCTTTAGAGCATGCAGCTGTCCATTTGCACATACAGCCAAATGTATTCGTCATAGAGTAATGTGGTCCAAATACTCTTTGGACTGTAGTTCAGCACCATGCATTAGCTTTGCATTGGAGGATGCCTGTCGGTGCCAGCCTCTTTATATAAACCACACTGAATAGTTGCAGTTTTATCTCTCTAATACACTCTCCATTTCAGACGTCAGAGCTATACATTTAGTGTGTCAGAAGTTAAACGGGTTATATCATATGTCTTAAATACTTTCCGCTTGAGGTCCACTTCTTAAGTTAGTCAGGGTGTTTTGACCCTGTGAAAAAAAAACAGTGATAATTTCAAAGTTTTCATGATCTCTTTAACACTTACAATTACTGTAAATGAAAGACTTTATGCCATTGTGTTTTTATAACATATCCATGTTATTCTATTTTCATTTGGGAGGACTCCTGCAATAGGTTTACAACCATCAAGGTCAAAAAGCATTTTCATTTTCTCATACGCTTCACATCAGCTCTTTTCTCAAAGTTCAAATTATTTGATTAATGCCCAAAAATGTCCTTACAAAGTATATCTAAACAACTATCGCAATTAAAATGAAATGTGTAAACATATTGTCAGTTCACTGAGAATAATAGGCAATCACAAACATTTGTGTTTAGATCATGAATGCGCTACGAATTCTATAAATTATGACACAAAGAATGAGATTCATTTCTAACTTCAATGACAATGAAGGGAGTTTCTGTGTAAGTGCCAATTACTATTTAGCGAAAGTGTATACTACCTGGTCAGAATATATATTATTTGGAGGCATTAGGCTAATCTGTTAGGAATCACTGTAAATCAGTTTTGAAAGTAATGCTGTAATTGCTGATGATTAATTTCTGTTAGTTCTTTTTTTATTATTATATACAGCTAAACATACATTATGATCTCCAAGTGGCCGTCTCCAAAATTAAACCAAGAATAGACTTGTGCAGTAAACATTGTGCCCGCACCAGTCTTATTAAATAAGGTTAATATTAAATTGAACAAATGACCAAAAAAGATATATGGTTGTTAGACTGTTGTCAATATGCTTGTGTTTATAGGCTATTGGTGTGCGTGTACCATTTTGTGCAACACTTGTATGTTTAAAACCACCTCCAAGGATACTGGAAGTCACTGAAATTGTTATTTTAGGATTCGCTGGCTGCAAAATTCCAGAATCCCTGCTTTATATGACAAGCAGTGCATGCAAAATCACATACATCCCGTGTAGACACAAATACATCATAATTTATGCTTGTCAAACAGTGGGTGAGACGTACATGAACATTTACCATGTTGTAATTTTCACAGCGATCATGAACTACTGCACTGTAAAAAATACATTTATAATTGAATGATTTAAACCTGCTCCCAAGTCAATTAACTTTGTTTTATTCTTTCTTATAATTTCTTATACATAGTACTACAATACATTGAGTCATATTTACTGTAATACTTATATTTACTTTATTTACATATTTACTTTAATAATAATTGTAGTATTGTTGAATTAACTGGATTTGTGTTCTGAGTTATAGAGCTAGAGTTATATTCTTATTAGCACACAATTCCTGGCCCCTGGCTCAAAAATGTCACGTTAATTAAAATCATTGTGATTAAGTATTATTTGGCATTAGCTTGTGTTAAGTTAGCTATCAGTAACACTTTATTTATGTACTTGTATGATTAATGTGGTGGATTATACATAATACACAATCTTAAAACAAATTCAGCCCATCTTCTATTAATCAAATTATAGGCCTACAACCCTACACATTTCAACATCATAGAAACCTCAATACCAATAGAAAACAATGTTTATGACTAATTTGTTAGTGTTGGGTAAAAAAATCACATACAGTAATGTTTGTGTTTGTTTGGAAATGAAAATTTGGTTCACATCAGAACCCAACGGCAGGCTAACATCAATGTCCAACATTAACCTAAAATTTTGGTCATCTGACATCACAACCTAAATCGAACATATTAACTTCTTTTGACACAAAGCAACCAAAACCAAAAATCTGCAAGGCTTGGTTAACTCGTTCAGTTTAAGTTAAGGTTAATACAATCAAAATTTGAGTTCACGTAAATTGTTTCTGTTAAGTACAATAAGCTTTTTTTTAAACATTGAGTCAAAGGTACTGATTTAATTAATTGCACTGCTCCATTTTACAGTGTTGTGGGTCATGTCTTTGACAACATATCACATGCAATTCCCTTGACTGTATATAACAGTAATGATCATGCTTTTTAAAAGGTTGTTGAAGTTAAAATTGATTTTACAGACAGTTCTTGATTTTGGTCGCACCAAATGGCTTGACTACAAAAACTTTTCAGAATAAATAATCATAATAGGGGCACTTAAAATGTCTGTGAAAATGGCTTTTACGACTTTTTGCAATAAGGTTTACTTATGGTATGTGGCTATCAGGCACAATATAATTGCCTCATTCTTCAGGAACAGCAATTCTGCATTCATTACATTGTGACAAAAAAGTCTGCACTTTAGCCACACAAGCTGTTAAGGTCAGACTGACATTATCAAGGACACTGTTATAAACAAACGTTCCTAATTTTGGGATCCTGAGTAAGACAAAGCAGATTTAGGCCGTACTCACACTAGGTACAGTTGCCTCGAACCGGGCCAAAGCACGCTTGTCCCCCCTCCCGTCTCCCCCGACGGCCCGCGCTCACACCATACCGGGCCACGGCACGCTTACGTCATCGCTGCTGCGCTGTTCAGAAGCGCTCTCTATGGCAAGCCTTTTTAGCATTTAAATCTTTGTTCTGACTCCATAAATATATTTAGAGATATATCTAATTATATTTTGACTAGTCATAATTATAATTCGACTAGTCAGAATAACAATTAGAGATATCTACAATTGCAAATGTACTAGTACGAAATCAGATTGGAGATACCTGCAAATATATTATGACTAGTCATATTCCTCCATTGACTTCCATTGAAAAATATTTGCAGATATCTCTAACTGAGTTTTGACTCGTCACAATTGTAATTAGAGATATCTCTAACTGAGTTTTTACTAGTCATACAGATGTCTTTAATTCGTAATATTTAGAGATATTTACAAATATATTTGAAGATATCTCTAATTAATTTACTAATAGTCGAATTGCAGTTGTAGGTATCTTGAATTGGATTTTTGACGAGTAAAAACTCAGAGATATCTGCAAATATTTTTCAATGGAAGTCAATGGAGGAATATGACTAGTCATAATATATTTGCAGGTATCTCCAATCTGATTTCGTACTAGTACATTTGCAATTGTAGATATCTCTAATTGTTATTCTGACAAGTCGAATTATAATAATGACTTGTCAAAATATATAATTATATCTCTAAATATATTTATGGATAGTCAGAACAAGGTTTAAATGTTAAAACGGCTTGCCATACGCTCTCATTTAGCAGCACAGTGGAGATTTCTCTAGTTATATCCTTTCAGTCGTTTGTTATGCAGTGACATGCAGTCAAATATTTCGCCAAACAGTCCTTAGGGATGCGGGGACACACAGTCAGATATTTTACCGAACAGATCCGCCACTTTTGGCGCTCATAAACAATCAAAGCTCTCGTGCTGCAGGAATGAGGAGGTCT